AGAGGAGGAGGAGGAGCAGCAGGAGGAGGAGGAGCAGGAGGAGGAGGTGGAGGAGCAGGAGGTAGAGGAGGAGGAGGAGGAGGAGCAGGAGGAGGAGGAGGAGGCCACTGGGCGGTGGCAGAGGGGTCAAAATCCAGAGCAGAGAGAGTGGAAAGGGAGAAGAGGGGAATGGGATGGTGGGGCAGACACTGAGASAGAAGGTGCTCGGCCCTTCCCAAGATACGGCAAGGCCCTGGGGCCCTCCACACGGGTGACCAGCTCTCGGAAACCATCATGTGCCCCACAACACAGGGTGGGCAGGGAGCGAGGACTTCCCAGGAGACGCTGTGGGGGCTCAAAGTCCAGGGCTCAGGGCGCAACACCAAGACGGCACAGAGTGCTTAATGCCCTGGCACCTGGCCCGGCCACAGCGCCTCACACCCACCAGGGCTGCCCCAGGAGGCCGAGTCCCCAGGGGAGCCGAGCCTGGAGAGTCCTTTGAAGGTCCTGCAGGTGGTTTATTGAGCCCTCGGAGGAAACCTGGGACCCTGCCCCATGCCTCTGGGGAGGCACGTCTGGCCCATCAGCGGGCGGAGGGGAAGGAAGTAGGCAGTGGTAGGAACAGGTGGCACATGAGACTGTGGGGACTTGGAAGTCTCTCCCTGGCCAGGGCGCGCCGAGGAGTAGGAATCACCGGGCAGACCCAGGTGGCCAGGACGCCATGAGTCCAGGTCCTACGGGAGCCCTCATGGGGGACAGGACAGCCCTCTTCTCTGGGGACACGGGGACACAGCACTCTGGATCCCGGTGGAGTGCAGGACGTGGCGGGGCTGCGGGCGCAGGCTCCTCACAGGGCAGTCCTCTTGGCGGCCTCCAGGTCCTCTGCCGTCTCCTCCAGCTCCAGCCCCAGGTTGCGCTCCCCGCCCTCCTGGTCCTTCTTCCTCTCCTTCTTCTTCCCACCTCCCTCCCTGTGGGGGGAAGGCCCAGGACAGTGAGGACCAGCTGCCCGCCCTGCTCCCTGTCCCCCCACCGTGGCCAGCCAGGCAGCCCTGYGAGTGCCACTGTGGATGAGTGGGCGGGGGTGGTGGACGGGGGACAGGTGGCGGCTGGCGGGGTGGATGGGCAGGGTCGGCACGGGGTGAGGGTGGGCGTGTGGGAAGGAGAGGGGTGGTAGAGGAGGACGGGTGCCTGCAGCAGGCGGGAGCTGGATCAACAGGCTAGTGGGCAGGTGGACAGCCAGGAGGGCTGTGCGGCCGAGCAGCGGGTGGGAGGGGCCGCGGGGCAAGGCGGGAGTGTGAGGGACACATCTGGGCCAGCGGGAGGACTGCTGGACGGCTGAGGGCCAAGACGGCACCGGCAGGCCGATGCCCGAGTGGCCGGGTGGAGGACGGTGGGTGAACAACGTGAGCAGGTGGGTGGACAGTCCATAGGTGGTGCAGTGGGTGGGCACAGAGGTGGTGCGGTGGGTGCGGTGTGGCCGGGACAGGGAGGCCAGTCGGCAGGCAGGGGAGACTGGCCCCGCCAGCACATCTCGGGGGCAGGAGTCCCCTTTCCTCCCTCGGCCCGTCCTGGGCCGCTGACTCTCAGGCTGGTCTCCTCCCTCCCACCCCTGTGCTGCCCAGGCCTGGTCCAGCTGCCATCTCGCCCTGCAGAGCCCCAGGGCGGCTGCACCCCGAGCCCCCGCAGGACCCGCAGGCCTGGAAGCGGGCGGCAGAGGTCCAGGCCGGCCACCGACGCAGCCTCGCCCTGGGGTCCTGCTCAACGGGAGACAGCAGAAGTAAGCTCTGGAAGCCACCACCTGAGTGACACCAGGGGACGGCCAGGAGGGTGCCAGCCGCGTTGAAGCGTGGAGCAGAGAGAAGCGGAGGGAGGGAGGGAGGACGGAGGGTGGCCGGGGGGAACCTTTGGAGCAAATCCCTGCGCAGAGGCCGAGGGTGGCAGCGGGGACAGTGTCCCGGCCAGGGGCAGCATGCAGAGGGCCTGTGGGGGCGCGGGCGAGGCCTCGGGTGGGAGTGGGCCCTCGGGCACACCTGGGGTTCATGTCCTGGTACACATGGGGCTCCATCCTCAAGGCGTCCGCCTGGTCCTCAGCTCTGCAGAGGGGAGGCAGGGAGGGGAGGCTGGGGCCGTGAGGGCAGCCTCAGCCCAGCCCCCCGGGCGCAGGAAGGGTGGGCTGCCCGGGTCAGTCCCAGGAGGGGGAAATGAGGGGACCTGGGGACAGGAGCTGGCCCTGGGGAGGGAACCAGAGAGGGCCAGGAAGCGGGGTGGGGAGCCCCCAGGGGAGCCTGGGCTAGAGACGGGGAGGGGCAGGGCTCTGGGCAGGGCTGGGGCCCACCTGGCCTTGGAGCACCAGATGCGGTTGGCCAGCATGAGTACGAAGACGATGAACAGGAAGCCCACCACCGCTGCCAGGCCCACCAGCCAGGGCTTCAGCCGCCGCTCAGGGGCTGCCAGGGAGCAGCAGGTGCTCAGGGGGAGGGCAGGTGCCCAGGGGCCCTCGGGGAGGGGACAGACCTCCAAGACTGGGCATGGAGAGGGGCAGGGCTGGGAGGGTGGGCTCTCTGAGGAGGAGGGACACAAAAGAGGCTGAGAGGGGGGTCCTGGGTGGGCTTATAAGGCAGGAGGGGGTTCAGAGGAGGGAGGGGATCCAGAGGGGGAGGGGGCTCAGAGGGGACCGAGTGGTGTTGGGAGAGGGGAGGCTGGGGGTGGGGGAGAGAGGGGGCCCTGTGGGGCTTGAAGGGGGCTGAGAGGGTGGGGGCGGGGTGCTGCGGGCCTGGGTGCCCTCCCAAGGCTGCCATTTTGCATCCTGGAGAACCCCCGGGAGCCTACCCTGGGCCTGGGCGGGCGAGAAGAGCCAGGCTCCCAGCACGACCAGCGTCCCCAGGGTCTTCATGGCTGAGTGCTGCGGAGCAGGGATCCCCTGCAGGTGACGGTGGCAGGCGGGCCTGGCAGGGGCCCTCCTCCCCTCCCCCGGCACCTGACTGGCTCCTGCCCCCAGCACCCCAGCAGACTCTGGACCTGGTGTGACATTAACTGGGGAGCTGGCCCCTCCCCTGTACCCCGCCCTGAGGGCCATCTGCCCAGGGCCACCCCCTCTGCAGCTGTCCCCGCACCCTGTTGTGGGGGGTGCTGAGGCCAGGGTGGGGCTCTCAGAGGCACCTGGGGTCTGAGCCACCCTGGGTGCTGGCCGGCGCCCGTCGGCTCCTGGCTGGTGACTGGCACGTCCTCCCTCTCCTTCTCTTGGTGACCCACAACATTCTGCCAGCCCTCAGTACAGAGCCAGGGCAGCCCCACTCAGCCACAGCCAGGGGGCGCGGCAGGCGGCAGCCAGCACTGACCAGCCTGCGCCACGAGCATGCAGTCGGCCTCCCAGGCCACCTGCCCACCAGGCACCGTCAGGTGGGGCTGCTCTACTGGCTGAGGATGGGGACACCAGGGACCGCAGATGACTCAGGCTCCAGCTCTCTRACCTCGGCCTTGGTCCTTAGGTCGATTAGAGAGTCAGCCCTGCCCAGGCCAAGGAGGACCCTGCCCCAGTCGCCACGGGAGCAGCCACAGCCCGGGCACGTGAAAGTATGCCCAAAGCCTGTGACATACACGTATGAGCACCTACTGTCTACACAGGAGTCCTGTGTCCCAGAGGTCTGACCACAACTTATGGGCAGACGGGCCACTGAACGGAGCTGTCCTGGAGCTCAGCCACACAGCCCAGGACAAGCATGGGCCCACTCCGTGCTGCCAGGTGGGCAAACATGAAGCCCCTGCTGTGTGCCCCACCCCGTGCAAAGGTCTGAAGTGACGGAAGCCTCAGTCAGGGACCAGGAGCCCCAGACAGCCAGGCCTGGAGCGAGAGGGGACAGGGAGCTGTGGAGGGGGACACGGCGTGGGGGGTCAGGGCCACCTGGCTGCTGCTCCACAAAAGGCCCTCTGCCCTGGCTGGCCAGGTCTCAGTGGCCTGGTGTTAGGTCTGTCACACGGCACAGTGCTGCTGGGTGACGGAGCCCGCGGGGCGGGGCAGGGCTGACTCAGCAGTCACGGGCCATCAGGGGGACGGCTGGTTTAATGTCCGGTGCCTCATGGCTCCCCACTCACAGACCGCGCAGGGCCGGCTGGAGGCTGGGCAGGGTCAGGCTCTGGGGAAGCAGGGCAGATGGCCATGGCCAGTGTCCAGCCACCAAGCCCTCCAGCTGAGAGGGAGCTCCTCCCCAGGGATGGGGTCGGCGTAGAGGCTCTGGGGGCCACGGGTTCCGACTGCGCAGCGTCCGAGGGGCTGGAACTGGGGCCGGGACCCCCCTCACTCCAGCCTCCAGGAGCTTTGGACCTGGGGGTCCCTGAAGATGATGGAGGGATGGTGGGGGTCCCGGGCGGGGGATTCCAAGGGGACGCCCTGTCCACCGCCCTCGAGGGCCTCCTCGTCCTGCCAGGCCAAGTCCAGTTCCTCCAGGTCCTCCCCGGCCACGCTGGTGGCCCGCTCCCGGCGAGGTGTCTCCTCTTGGTCTGACTTCGGGCCGAATGCCCAGTCTGCGTCAGGGACGCCGGTGAGGACCTCTGGGCCCGAAACCCTCCACCCGTCCTGGCCCAGAGAGGGCCCGAGCTCTGCCGGCTCTCCCCGGCCTGCACRGAGGGGTGGAGGCCTGGGACCCCGCCAGCTCCGCCCCTCCCTGGCCAGTCCGACCCAGGCCAGCCTGGCAGTGGGTAGCTCACCGGCCAAGTCGTGGGCCAGGTCTTTGATGAGGTGCCCGACAATGGCGTAGGCCACAGCCACCACCAGGAACGCGGCGATCAGCAGGTACAGCCCGTACCTGGGCAGGCGGATGGTGTCCAGCGGGGGCGGCCGGTACTCCTCATACACCGGGGGGGCAGCGCTCCAGTCCTGGGTCTCCTCCTGGTCCGCCAACCCCGGCATGGCGGCCACCTGGAGCAGGGAAGCCCGGAGGTGACCCGTGCAGCGGAAGTATTAAGGGGCTTTGAGCTAAGAGGATTGCGAGGCTCCCAGGGCCCCATCTGCCTGCAGTGATCACAGCACAGATGCTTCTGCCTCAGCAGCTCCCGCACTCTCCCTGCCCCAGGGCCCTGGCACTCGCCAGCCTTCTCCTGAGAACACCCACCCCGATGTCTCCCAGCTGGCCCGATTCATTTGTTGGCGTTTATTGAGCACCTACTGAGGGCACCCTCGTTTTCGGCAGTGCTGGGTTGGAACCCAGGGCCCCATCTCTGAGGGCAAGTGCTAACCACAGCCACACACACAGTCCTTTCAGATTCTACTTGTGACAGGGTCTCACTAAATTGACAGGTGGCCTGAAACTGGCCCTCCCGGGCTTCAGCCTGAGTAGCTGGATGGCAGGCGTGGCCCCGGACCCAGTGGCCAGCCACTCCCTTAGGTCCTGGGTGGAGGCCCTCTCTGCTGCCGGGAGATGGAGCACGACACTAGGATGGGGGTGGAGGGGCGTGGGGAGGGAAGGAGCCTCGGCGCACACTGTCACCCAGCAGCTCGGGAGGCCGAGACAGGGGGATCGCAAGTCCAAAGCCAGCCTCAGCAACAGCGAGGCGCTGAGCAACTCAGTGGGACCCCGTCTCTGATTAAAATTCAAAATAGGGCTGGGGTGGGCTCGGTGGCTGAGTGCCCCTGAGCTCAATCCCTGGTATTCATCCCCCCCAAAAAAATCAGATATAGGAAGGGCTGGAGCCAGTTCCGTGGCAGGTGTCTCTGGACTCGACCTCCAGGCAGGAGGCAGGGTGGTCCGGCCTCACCTAGGAGGGGTCGCTGGAGCAGAAACCTCAGGAGGAAGGGGGCCCGCCGGGAGCACCCGCACCAGAGCTCAGCCTGCGCAGGGCCCTGGGGAGCTGGTGGCACATCCAGGACGTGAGGCCGGAGCAGAGGGAGGAGGGGAGGCCGGGCAGGTCCTGTGGGCTACGGGGCCCTGACCCCCGGGGGTGGGGGCTGTGGGAGAGCAGCAAGGGGCCGGGCTCGGTGCTCACAGGCCCCCTCTGGTGGCTGTCGTGGGGAGGACAAGCGGGAGCCCAGGTAGGACCACGGACCAGGGCACAGGTGGCCAGGCCCGTCTGGATGGGGGACACGGCAATGGACTCAACCCTGATGCTCCCAGGCTGAGCACGGGAATGACGGTCCCCACTGCTGAGAGGGACGCGGGAGGAATGTGGGCCTCGGGTGGCTCAGGCCAGGACAAGGCACGAGAGCAGGCAGAGGAGCCGGGGTTCAGAGGCCAGCCGTCTAGGGCCGCGCCCCAGCTGTCCCCCAGCTCCTCTGTGAAGTGGGCTGGTCACATGCCCCGGGGGGGGGGCAGCCCGGGGACTCAGAAGAGCCCCTCAAAGGGGCATCTTCTAAAAGCTGAGGTGTGGCTCTTCGGTGGAGCCCTGCCTGGCGCACGTGAGGCCCGGGCTCACCCTGTGCCCCCAACCCACACCGCGCCCACCTCCCTGGCCTAGGAGGGCTCCTGGGGCCCGGTCAGGGCCTCTGGGGGCCTGGGCCACCCGAAACGCCGAGGGGCCGGGAGCTGGAGGGCCCCAGGGGGAGGCTGCATGCRGAGACGGCCAGGGCAGTGGCGAGGCTCCCCAGGTCCCTGCTGTGGGGCAGAGGCCGGGCCTGCCTGGCTGCGTGGCGGGGGCTGAGCAGTGAGCAGGTGAGAGGGAGGGCGCCAGCCCGTCCTCCACGCTGCCCAGCAACCAGGCCGCTGTGTCGTCCTCCCTGACCTCCTGCTTCTGGGGGAAGCCGCTGCCCTGGGAGCAGGGCTAAGGGGAGGCCCCAGGCCCGTGCTTGTGGCCCAGCCTGACCACAGCCTGCTCAGACCTGGGCTGAGGCGGCTGCCCGCGGTCTTGGGCGCGCTCCTGCTCCGGTGCTGTTTCAGGCTGCCCGCGACTTGAGGGCTCACATGACCCTCCTGTTGGACCTCAGCAGCTTGGACAAGGGCCTGGCACCTGCCCGGGCAGGCGCTTCTCAAAGCCACACCCCACAGCTTTTTGAGACAGGGTCTCGCCAGGCCTCAAACTTGCCATCCTCCTGCCTCAGCCTCCAGTGTAACTGGGAAGGCAGGCGCGGCCACAGCACCCGGCCCTTTTCTGTCTCCAGGAAGGGTGGGTCACGGGGTTCGGCCCACCCCAGATCTAGGAGGATCACACCTGAGTCCTGATCACACCACAAGACCCTTCTTCCAGACGAGGTCACACTCCCCGGCATGGGGTCAGACTCGGAGTCACCTTCTGGGGATACAACCCAACCCAAGTTGCAGGTCCGGAGGCGACACGGTGTCCTGGGGAGCACCCAGGCCGCGGGCAGGGCGGGGAGCAGCTGAGCAGGTAGGCATGGGAGCCCACAGGTCACTCTGAGGAGGACCAGGCCCTGAGCGGGCAGGGGCTGGCCAGGGCACAGGGGCTCAGGGCGGAAGCCACAGGAATGTCCCCAGGAAGTGAGTTCCCATGTGTTCTGCCAATAGCCTTTTGGTTTGTGGATTCCAGGGCACAGAGGGGCAGCTGTGGACCCAGTCCCACCTTCAGACCGGTTTCTTGGGTGAGCAGGCCACCCTGGGGCAGGTGGGACCCGGAGGGTCCGGTGGCCCCGACGGGAGCAGGTGGTAGGTGGAGGGCAGGCCGCAGGGCTGCTTCTCTAGAGCCCCGGGAGGGAGCCAAGCTGGTGGACAGTCCCCAAGAGCTGGACAGGCACAGGTGGCAGTGCTGGGCAGTAGTGCTCCCTGGAAGCCCACCCCACACACTCAGGGAGCCACTGCTGGGCCAAAATGATTTACTCTTCCACGTGGCAGCACCCAGGAGCCCGCGCCCCACCTAGGACCACCTCCCACGCCACATGGCCGAGGTCAAGGGCCCTGGACCCCACCKTCACTGCTAGTGCAGCCTGAGCCACCCAGGTCCCCCCCCCTCACGCCGGCCAGGAGCCCACAGCTCCCACCGAGGGAGTCGGGGGCGGCTCCGCAGGAACAGGGCCAAGGGGAGTCAGACACCGCAGTCCTGTTGGGACAAGGGGCCCTGGCAGGTCAGCAGGGGCAGGGCGGGGTGGGGCTGGGCGCTAGGGCAGTGGGCGTGGCTGCTCCGGGCGGTCCTGCTGGAAGGGCCCGCGCTCCTGCTCGTACATGTCCAGGGCCACCAGGCAACTCTCCCGCACCACGCGCTCGGGGTCGGCCATGTGGGCGTGCAGCGCGGCCAGGCAGGAGGGCCGGGCAATGGCGCCCAGGGCCTCCGCACACTCGTGGCGCACCATGGGGCTCTCGGCGGGGCGGGCCAGGGTGGCGGCCAGCTGGGGCACGGCCGCCTCGTGCTGCAGCTGGCCCAGCACGTAGCCCACCTCGTGGCGGAAGAGGGCGCTGCCGCAGCGCAGGCCTGTAGGCGGGAAGGGCAGTCACTTGGTCACTCACCGGGCACACCACGGGCTCGGGGCTGGGGCACCCAGAAGGTGGGGACAAAGGGGCTCTGTCTCCAGGACTCGCCCACCCATGACGGGGCAGCTCGGGCGCCTGGCCAGCCTGTGGGGAGCCGGCTGGACCAGGGGCCTCTGGCACTGCAGCACCCAGCCCCTTACTCTGCTCTGGACAGGGTCCGGCTGAGCTGCCCAGCTGGCCTGGACTGTGACCCTCCTGCCTGAGCACCCGAGGAGCCAGGATGACAGGTGTGGCCACTGGAGAGGGCTGGGGGTCCGCCGGCACCTCTGCTCCCGGGGTGTGCTGTGCCCAGCTGCCCAGCCCGGGGCCTCCTCACCCTCGGCTAGCGCCAGGGCCGCCTCCTGGCCCCCGGCGTTGCGCAAGGCGAACATGGCGCGGTACCGGTCAAACAGCGGCAGGGTCTCGTCCAGCAGTGCCTCCCGCAGCTGCCCCACGTCGCGCTCCTCAGCTGGGGGGGCCGGGTCCACCGAGAGGTAAGGCCCGGCCACTGTCGGCTGCCCAGGGTGCTGCTGCAGCCACTCTAGGCGGCGCACGGCCAGCTGGCACGTCTCAGCCACCTGCAGGGCGAGGGGCGCACAAACGGCATCAGTCCTGGGCCTGATGTTGGGGACACGCAGAGGCCGTGACATCCCCACCCCACCCTCCTGGGCTGGCAGCAGGGACCTATGGGTTAGGACAGCAAGGGGAAGGGACAAGGGATGAGGAAGCTGAGGGGGGCTGGGGAGATGAGAGAGCACCAGGGCCAAGGCCCGGGCGGCCCTGCTGGGAGGAGGACGGGAGCCAGGGCTCCAGGTCCTGCCCTGGAGGGAGCGAGGCGTGGGCCCTCCCCTGGCTGCGTGAGAAGAGTGGGGCGTGTGAAGCAAGTCAGGACGCCAGGGTCCAAGTGAACTCAGACTCGCACACAGGCCCGCGGCAGGGTGGTTCTCCATGGCCAAAAAGTGGAGGCCACCCTTGTGTTCAACGAGGCACGAACTGATACAAGTAACAGGCCTGGCTGGGCGCGGTGGCCACGCCAGCAACCCCTGCAGCTCAGGAGGCTGAGGCAGGAGGATCGCCAAGTTCAAGGCCAGCCTCAGCTACCTGGCAAGGCCCTGAGCAACTTAGGCAGCCCGACTCAAAATGAAAAAATAATAAAAAAGGCTGGGGATGTGGCTCAGGGGTAGAGCACCCCTGGGCTCAACCCCCGGGACCAAAAAAGAAAAAAAAAGACATCCCAAAACAAAGAACAGCCTGTGCCCATGTTGAGCGTCACTCCACCAGGGCAGGAGCCAGGGGACAGGGTGGCGGACCCAGGACCTCGTGCTCAGTGAGCAGACACAGGAGGTCAAGGTGTGTGGGCCAGGGACAGGAGGGGCCAGGACAGACCCACGGAGGATGGAAAATGTCGCTAATGGGAGTGGGTTTCCTTGAGAGGAAGGGAATGTTCTGGAAGGAGCAGGGCAGCTGCCCGCCTCTGAATGCACTGCAGGCCACTCAGGGTGCACTTCCAGGGGTGAACTAAACGGCACGTGAGTCACCTCAATGAAACTATCTCAGAAGAGACGCGGGGAACGGCAGGGAGACCGAGGTCCAGGGGGCCGGGCAGGGTGGCAGGGAGGGCAGGGTCTCAGAGCAGCCGGGGGCCAGGCAGGAGCCCCGAGCAGGCTCTGCTGGCCTCGGGCCTGGACGCTGCCCTCCCCACCTGGGCCTGGAGCACCCATGGACAGCGGTCACCGTGGCAACCAGAAAGGGGTTCTAGGGCTGCTCAGGCCGGGGCTGGGGAAGCGCTGGGCACAGCTTCTCGGGCAGGGCTGGGGCTGGCTCTTACCTCCACCGTGGGGTCGCTGCAGTACTGCCTCAGGAGCTCCAGGACCTGCAGGTTCCCAATGGCGCCCAGGGCCTCCCCTGAGAAGCAGGCAAGGCTGGTGTTGGCTGGCGAGCGCCACACGGCTGCGGAACAGCACCCGCTGGTAGCAGCTCCCCGGCCAGGGCTGAGGGGCAGCAGGGCTCACGGGCTGCAMGGCCGCCCAGCCAAGCCGCAGCAGAGCCTGCACCTGCCCCCGGGCACAGGCACAGTGACCCCAGCCTGCGCCTGGGGGGAGGGACGAGGTCCTCCCACCTGGACGCCGACACAGCGGATGGGGAGCCGGGGGCAGGGGGAACTCCTGGGGCCTCTGGGCAAGAGGGACAGCACAGGCCAAGCCCTGCAGCCAGGGACGGGGCAGCAGGCAGGCGGCACAGGTGCACTGACCAGAGGGGCAGCCGGGGTCCCCCGCACAGGGGCAGTGACGGGAGAAAGGAGGCAGCCCAGCACTGCCGGTCTCCTTTAAGCTCTCCACGTGCACCTGCCCCTCCCACACGGCGGCGGCCACTCTCCTGGCCTCACTCAGCCTCCTCACCCGCCCGCAGGAGCACAGTCTGCGCCCCACACCCAGCTCTGAACGTCGTTTTAAAGGGAAAACACCTAAAGGAATAAGATTCCCTGACCAGACGGCTGGGGTGGCCCCGCAGTCCCCGGGGTGGCCCGTCTCCTGGGCCCAGGCCAGGCCAGCGGGGCAGGGAAGTGCGAGGGCAGCCGCCTGCCCCTCACCTGCCTCGTGGCGCACCATGGGCTCCTGGCGGGTGTCGCGCAGCACACCCGTGAGCACCGGGATGGCGCGGGAGTCCTGCATCTGGCCCAGGCAGTAGGCCAGCTCGTGCTTGAGCAGGGCGGAGTCGTCATCGAAGGCCCGGCTGATCCAGGCGATGGCCCTGGGGCCACCAAGCCCCCGCAGGGTGAAAAGCGCCCGGAAGCGGGCCTGCAGAGGCTGCTTGGGGTCCACCAGCACCTGCCCGATGGCCTCGACCTCTTGCTCTGTCACCATGATGCCTCCAGCAAGGGCCTGGTCCTCTGCGCCCCGGGGACTGAGCCTGGATGCCCAGAGAGCAGAACCTGCAGCAGGAATGGAGCAGGGTCAGCGGCGTCCCGCCCACTCGTCTCAGGAGGGCGGGGGCTCTTCTGGGGGGCACTAGAGTCCATCCAACCCAGGCAGCACTCTGCCACTGAACCACACCCTCAGTCCCCCCCCCAAACTCTGAGTCACATCCCAGCCCTTTTGTATTTTATTTAGAGACCGGGATCTCACTGAGGTACCTAGGGCCTCGCCACAATGCTGAGGCTGGCTTTGAACGGAGATCCTCCCGCCTCAGCCTCCCGAGCTGCGGGGATGACAGGCGTGCCTCACTGCGCCTGACCCTTTTTTTGAGTCAGTGCCTAAGTTGGCCAGGTCCTCAATAAAAGCAAGAATAGGCCAGATACAGTGGCGTCTGCCTGTAATCCTGGCAGATTGGGAGGCTGAGACAGGAGGATTGAGAGTTCAAAGCCAGCTCAGCACCTCAGTGAGACCCTGTATCTAACTAAAACACAAAACAGAGATGAGGCAGCGGCTCAGTGGCTGAGGGCCCCTGAGTTCAATCTCCAGTACCAAAAAAACAAAAAAAACCCCACAAGAATAGTGTCTGGCATTTGTGTACATTTGCCAAACGCCAGGCTCTCTGATAAGCCCGTATGTTCATTAGCTTATTTAACCCTCCCAGGGCCCCACGGGATGGGCAGAGACTTGTTCCCATCGACAGGTCAGGAAACAGCCTGTCTTGCCTGGGGACAGCGTGGATGCCGGGGTTTTGCTGTGGTGGTGGTGGCTCACACTGCAATGAACCCCGGGGCTTACCACTGAGCCACATCACCAAGCCCTCTTTCTTTTGTTCTAAGACAGGGTCTTGCTCAGTTGCCCAGGCTGACCTGGGACTTGCCATCCTCCTGCCTCAGCCTCCCAAGCAACTGGGTGGACAGTAGAGGGCATTGCGCCGAACTTCAGCAGGGACAGTTGTGGGAGGCCGCCACACCATGTGACCAACATATTCCTTTCCTGATTGGTGAGACCCTGTCGGTCACTTCCAAGTGATCTGGCCACATCAAAGTGGCCCTAGATGACGCCCCGATCTTGGAAGTCACAGAATGTGTGAATGTGTCTTCGTGCCTGGGCATGCCTTCCCGCAGCCCCATAGGTGGAGCTACGCTCACCTGTTCCTTTGTGATGTTACCCCTTTGCCCTGTTTGGAAATGCCCTTTGTGTGTCCCCTTCTCTTGCTCTGCCCTTGGGTGTGGCCTTCCTAGCTGTCAGTCAACCAGCTCTCTTTCCACAGACCCTTAAGGTCAGAAAAAGGTCTCTCTGTCTCTTGTGTGGTTATTTTGCACAGCCCATTCCCCTAGAGTGATCCTGAGTGTTTTGTCTCGAGGAATGCAGCAGACAGTTTTAAATCAGTCAGTGTGGCTCCAGAGGGCTCTGAACCATACGGACATTGCTGCATGAGTGAATTAAGATGAAATGACACTGCCTCTGGTTGTGGTGGCCACACCTGTAACCCCAGTTATCCAGGAGACTGAGGCAGGAGGATCACAAGTTCAAGGCCCACCTGGACAACTTAGCAAGACCCTGTCTCAAGATAAACAGTTAATGGACCAAGTGATGTAGCTTTGTGGTAGAGCAACCTGGGGTCCATCCTCAATGCTGCAAAACAAGAGGTAAACAAGGATGATATGACAAGTTGGGAGGTTGGGAGGACGGACTCCTGGGCCCTCCAGGAACCCAGCAGACACTTCCCAGACACAGCAAGCAGGGAGTGGCATGCCGCAGCCCTCTGTGGTTTCCAGTGGCGTCAGCAGAGGTGCCTAGAGAGGGCATAATGTGGGAGGCACAGCTGCCTAGGACAGGTGCCATCCAAGGATGATCACACCTTGAGGAAGGAGCAAGACCCTAGAGGCACTGCGACCCGACTCCTCCCTCCATATACACGGATAAGCAGCCCTTGTCCCCAAAACAGAAACTCAGGCCTTCTGAACTGCAGCCGACAGTCTAAGTTTAAGCTCCTGCTACAGAGAGAAGTGAGAGGAGGAGAGAGGGGGTTGTGGAGCTCCAGGCACACATCCTGAACTTAGTCTCTCCATCTGGAACAGCTCAGCAAGTCTTGGGTTTCCTTCAAACCTAACCCCTTGAAACCTTACCTTCTGGGGGAGGCCTTTCTCTGACCACCCTGTTTAAGGAGGCAAACCCGCCACTACTGAACCCTCCATAAGCTACAAGGAGTTAATGAATCCTTCCCAGGGAGCCCAAGGTCCACCTGGGCTCAGGACGAGGGAGAGCCCTGAAACTCATACCTTAGGCCTATTTTTCCTGCATGTGGGGGTCAGGGATCGGTCCCCAACGCAGGCAGAATCCAGGAGTCCACTCACCCCGGTGGAGGTCTCAGAGACAGACACGATAAACTAATACAGGGATGCAGGAACCACAACTCCAACGAAGAGCTCGGGACCGGATGCCCCATCCCCGAAGGGGTCGCCGCGTCCCGGGACCCCTCAAAAAGGGACGACCGGCTCCGCAGACCCCTTAGGAGACCCCAAGACGTCGTTTCAAGAGCCACATAAGGGATGCCCCAGTACCGACGCTGCCCAGGGGTCCCCGGAGACATGGGACCCCTCCAGCCACCCTGCCCACGACTCCCGGAGGGCTCTCGGGGCGCCTCCCGGGCCCGCCCGCCAGACCCGGGATCGCACCGTGCTCCGCCGCTACCACGCCGGCCGGGCTCCGAATCGCCGGACCCGAGCGCACCACCCGCGGAGGCTTCAACAGCCGCGACGCTCGCAGCGCGCCCTGGAGGCCGCCATGTTCCCGGCCACGTGACCAGCCGGACGGCGCCAACGCCGCCGCGGGGGGACCAGCCAGCAGCGACCGCCGCGGAAGCAGGACCCAAAGCTCCAGCCAGCACCAGTGACAAAATGGAAACCCACGCCGCAGGAACAGCCGAGGGACATGCCTCCAGGAAAGGGAAGGGCCACTTCCGCCCTCCCTCTGTGGTAGCCCCTCCGGCCTCCCCTACGGGGCCGGTGGAAATGGTTCACGCCCGTTCAGCGCGGAGCTTGGCCGGCTGGCGACGGAGCATGCGCGGCGTCTCGGGGGCGGGGCCAGCCTCGGGGGCGTGACCAATGGTGGGAGGCTGGAGCCCCGGGAGGGCGGGAGGGGCCGGGAAGAGGAAGTGACCCCGTGGCTCATTCATTCGTGGGTTTAGTAACTCGTGCTCGCCGAGGACCGGCCTGCCGCCTTCTCCTTCCGAAACCGCGCAGTGCTGTCTTCCGAGTGTGCCTGACCAGGTGGCGACACCCGCCCAGGAGAAAGCTGCGCCGCCTGCGGGGCGCGGCTGGGGAAGCGCGGCCAGGGCCCAGGGCGGGCATCCCAGCGCCGACCCGCAGGGCAGAGTCCGAGGAAAGACCCGGCGGCACGGCAGGCGCCCGACTTGGGTGTGACCGGGCTCTTCACGGCCGCGGGAGGCCGGCGAGAAAGCCGGAGGCCGCAGCCCTCGCACTCGGGAAGAGGAGCGGGGATCTGGTTGGAAGTGGAGAGAGAGTCCTGCCAGGCTGGGGGCAGCTCCGTGGGGGAGCACTTGCCCGGCACGGGCAGGGTCCTGGGTTCAGGTTCACCCAGCACGGCAGGGGTCGGGGATCCTGTCAAGGATGAGGACAGCGTAGTCAGGAGTAACTGGAAGGATGCCGCAGCCATTAAACCCACTCCACCCTCGCTCTGAAACTGTCGGATCCGCTCACGTCACCCATTTTTTCACTTTTTTATTTTTATTTTTGCAGTTCTGGAGATGGATGGAACCCAGGGCCTCACACTGGGTAGGCAAGTGCTCTACCACGGTGCCACGCCCTGTCTGGCTAAGTGGCCCACACTGGCTTTGAACTTGCAAATCTCTGGTTCTGCCTCCCTAGGACCTGGGATTACAAGCTGTACCACTGCACCGGGCTCAGCAAATGCCTTTTATTTCTATCTGTCTATCTATGTAAAATATTATATTTATATATGATTATATATATTTAGATTTACTTTAGTTGTAGATGGACACAATATCTTTATTTTTATGTGGTGCTGAGGATCCAGCCCAGTGCCTCACACATGCCAGGCAAGCGCTCTGCCACTGAGCCACAACCCCAGCCCCTCAGCAAATGCTTTTTAAGCAGAAGCCAGAGAGCAAAGATTTCACACACAGTCTCTAGTACAGGGAGGCTGAGGTAGTAGGGTGGGAAGTTGGAGGCCAGTCTCAGCAACTTATCAAGGCCCTAAGTAACTTAACAAGACCCTGACTCAAAAACAATAAAAAATTTAAAAAAAAATAAAAGGACTGGGGTGTGTCGTGGTTAATCACCCTAGGTTCAATACCCAGAAACCATAAACTATTAATAATAGTTATAATAATAATAATGTGGGCAGGGAGCCAAGCATGGTGGCACACACCTGTAATCCCAGCTACTTGGGGGTGGGGGGGGTGAGGAAAGAGAATGGTAAGTTCAAGGTCAGCCAGGCAACTTAGCAAGACCTTGTCTCAGAAATAAAAGGGGCTGGGCTGGGGGTATGAACTCAATGGTAAAACACTTGTCTATCCTATGAAAGGCCCTAGGTTCAATCCTCACGACTGCAATTTAAAATGTATAGGGAGAGGGGTGGGATGGGGCCAGGGGCTGGGGAACATCATCCAGTGGTAGAGCAGGATGCCTGGCATGTGTAAGGCCTCGGACCCAGTGTTGCAAGAAATCCACACAAACATATAGGTATCCGTGTATTTATACGTATAAACACGTGTGCGCGCGCACACCACACGGGCAATTCATGAAAACTATTCCACGCACAGCAAAGCAGAGTGCAGTCACTTTGACGGGCCAACTGCTGTTTTAAGACAACACTGATTCAAGATGAGCAGAAACGCCTATGTACAAGGCACAGCCCTGGACGACAAAGACACGGAAGGAAGCAGATGCCATCACTGGCCTCATGAAACCCACTTCCTGAGGTGGTGCTGCCTCCCACGTCAAAGGAGACTCTAGATAACCAGCTTTGGGGCAGCCTGCGGGTGCTCCCCAGGACCCCGCCCCCCAGTCCCACTGTGGCTCAGGCTGAG